CGAATTGCCGTTGAGCTGAACTGCCTTGTTTAATCTGACCTGCCATTGAGCTGAACTGCCGTTGATCTGAATGCCTGCCTTTAATCTGAACTGCCGTTGAGCTAAACTGCCTTGTTGAGCTGAACTGCCGTCGAGCTGAATTGGCTTTTATCTGAATTGTCTTCGATCTGAACTGCCTTTAATATGAACTGCCTTGTTTAATCTGAACTGCCATTGAGCTGAACTACCTTGTTTAATCTGAACTGCCATTGAGCTGAACTGCCATTAATCTAAACTGCCATTAATCTGAACTGCCTTTGAACTCTGATCTGAACTGCCTTTAATCTGAACTGCCATTGATCTGAACTGCTGCTTTAATCTGAACTGCCGTTAATCTGAACTGCCGTTGACCTGAACTGCCTTGTTTAATCCGAATTGCCGTTGAGCTGAACTGCCTTGTTTAATCTGACCTGCCATTGAGCTGAACTGCCGTTGATCTGAATTGCCTTTAATCTGAACTGCCGTTGAGCTAAACTGCCGTTGAGCTGAACTGCCGTCGAGCTGAATTGGCTTTTATCTGAATTGTCTTCGATCTGAACTGCCTTTAATATGAACTGCCTTGTTTAATCTGAACTGCCATTGAGCTGAACTGCCTTGTTTAATCTGAACTGCCGTTGAGCTGAACTGCTCTTAATCTAAACTGCCATTAATCTGAATTGCCATTAATCTGAACTACCTTTGATCTGAACTGCCTTGTTTAATCTGAACTGCTGTTGATCTGAACTGCTGTTAATCTGACCTGCCATTGAGATGATCTGCCGTTGAGCTAAACTGCCTTGTTTAATCTGAACTGCCTTGTTTAATCTGACCTGCCGTTGAGATGACCTGCTGTTGAGCTGAACTGCCGTTGGGCTGAACTGGCTTTTATCTGAATTGCCTTCAATCTGAACTGCCTTTATTCTAAACTGCTGTTGAGCTGAACTGCCTTGTTTAATCTGAACTGCCATTGAGCTGAACTGCCTTGTTTAATCTGAACTGCCGTTGAGCTGAACTGCCTTTAATCTGAACTGCCGTTAATCTGAACTGCTGTTGAGCTGAACTGCCTTGTTTAATCTGACCTGCCATTGAGCTGAACTTCTGTTGATCTGAACTGGCTTTAATCTGAACTGCCGTTGAGCTGACCTGCCGTTGAGCTGACCTGCCGTTGAGCTGAACTGCCTTTGTTCTGAACTGCCGTTGTTCTGAACTGCTGAACTGCCTTGTTTAATCTGACCTGCCATTGATCTGAACTGTCTTTAATCTGAACAGCCGTTAAGCGAACTGCCTTGTTTAATCTGAACGGCCGTTGAGCTGAACTGCCTTGTTTAATCTGACCTGCCGTTGAGCTGAACTGCCTTTGATCTGAACTGCCGTTGAGCTGAACTGCCTTGTTTAATCTGACCTGCCGTTGATCTGAACTGTCTTTAATCTGAACTGCCGTTAAGCGGAACTGCCTTGTTTAATCTGAACGGCCGTTGAGCTGAACTTCCTTGTTTAATCTGACCTGCCGTTGAGCTGAACTGCCTTTGATCTGAACTGCCTTTAATTTGAACTGCCGTTGAGTTGAACTGCCTTGTTTAATCTGAACTGCCATTAATGTGAACTGCCTTTGATCTGAACTGCCTTTAATCTGAACTGCCGTTGACTTGAACTGCCTTGTTTAATCTGAACTGCCGTTGAGCTGAACTGCCTTTTTTAATCTGAACTGCCTTGTTTAATCTGAACTGCCTTGTTTAATCTGAACTGCCTTGTTTAATCAGAACTGCCTTGTTTAATCTGAACTGCCTTGTTTAATCTGCCTTGTTTAATCTGAACTGCCTTGTTTAATCTGAACTGCCTTGTTCAATCAGACCTGCCACTCAGAGGACCTGCCGTTAATCTGCCTTCAAGCAGACCAGCCTTTTAAGCAGGCCATCAATCAGACCAGCCAGCAGACCAGACTTTAATCAGGCCATCAATCAGACCAGCCATCAATCAGACCAGCCATCAATCAAGCCAGCCATCAATCAATCCAGCCAGCAGACCAGCGTTTAGTAGGCTCAGCCAGGAGAAAGGCCTATAGGCAGCCAAGACCAGCCTTGACAGTGCAACTAGCATGATCACATGTCATGGAGGATCTTCTTCAGCCTGAGTCACCTGTGGCAGCCCAGACGTAATACAAAAAAGTGGTCCTAGTTTCCAGTATTGAAACCCATATCTCATGCCTGTGAGTTTTTCCTTTTTTTTTGGTCTCCTTGTTTACACTGCAACATGAAACAGCAAATTAAGATTTTTTTTAAAAAAAAATTATCATCCTACTATTGTGGAGTCCCAGTCAAACCCTATAGTAAAATAGAATGAATCAACAGCTAATTCAGTTGCTAGTTGAAGTTTGCCACAAACTTCCACTGTCGTAATAACTAAAAAGACAAATGATGGTGATGCTGGAAAGACCACGAAAAAACACTGTTTTAGTACACAATGGCTGGATCAGTTTTCATGGCTTGCTTACTTCAAGGAAAATGATACAGTTATATGTAAAGTTTGCATTTGGTTTTGGTTCTCCCAAATTTCAGATGAAAAATGAGCAAATGGCGTAAAAGCTCCATTTAAAAACTAAATGTGAAAAGCCATTTCTAGATTTCCCTGATTTATTAACATTGAGTGCCATACTAGATGTGCTAGTTCTGTAGAAATATGGAAATAATGTTCAATGCAAACAATTCATTCATTTCATTGCAAGAATAATCAGAGAAAGTCTTTTGACAAACATTAAAAAGTCACCTTTTGTTGGCATCATGATTGACAGATCTACAGATTGATCCTACAGTGAACATGCAAACATTTATGTCCGTTATGTTTTAGAAGGAGACGTCAAAGAAGATTTTTTGGGTACATTTGTGCTAGAAAATGCTACTGCCAAAGGTTATCTCAAAGGATTGACTGCCTTTATGGATAATTTGTATCTTAATTACAGAGGCTCTTCATGGGTTGCAGGCTTGGGAACGGATGGAGCTGCAAGTATGCTTTGCCACAAGTCAGGTTTAGCAGTCCAGATGAAAGAAGTCTGCCCACAGATGATCAGCATACATTGTGTGGCTCATTGCTTGCAGCTTGCGATCTTGGATGTTTGCAAGGAAATGCCATACCTACAAACATTCGATGAGGTGGTGTGGGCGTGTTTTCAAATATCATTGCTCAGCAAAATGCCGGAAAGGATTTTGGGAAAAAATGGGAAAGGAAAAAACAAACTTGAATTTCTTAGTAAGTTTACTGAAGATGGAAAACTACATGGGCTGCAGCTGACCAACCTTCAAGCTGGTGAAAGAGAATTTCAGTCTATACGCCAATCTGTATTGGCCAAAGCAGAAAGATATTTAATTTTGAGGCTTTCCTCATTCTCCTCAGATATTGTACTATCTTTCAATATATTTAACAGCGTGTCTTGGCCAGACAAAGCACACATCCTCAACTTTGGATTGACTGAGTTGCACAGAATTGCAAAACATTTTTTTGATAATCAGTTTGAAGACAAAATTGACCTGTTAGAAGAGGAGTGGGCTGACCTAAAACTCTCCATTCAAAATGGACTCTCTTTTAATGAGACTCTGAAAAGATTGAATCAGCAGAAAGAAAGATTCAGCAACATACTCCCTCTGGTCAATTTCTGTGCCGTACGTCCCCCAACAACTGCCTCATGGGAACGTGGCTTTTGCTACTAAAACAGAATAAAGACAGTCTATCGTTCATCACTGACACTGGAGACTTTGGATGATCTTTTGATGATTGCCGTTAATGGACCACCACTAAAAGATTACAATCCAAACACTGCCATTGATAAGTGGTATTTCTCATCAGAAAGGGGACGTTACACAAGGCTTGGTCCTGCTGTACAACGAGAATCATAGCAAATCTTGATGTGAAACTGGCTTCCTCCTGCTTTTTGGCATCCCAAAAATTTTTTTTTGGTGTTTTTTTTTTTTCTTCATTGAATAGTATACAATCCACACACAGTGTGGTATTTTGCATCAGAAAAAAGGTATTACACAAGTTTTGGTCCTGCTGTACAACGAAAACCATAGCAAATCTTGATGGGAAACTGGCTTCCTACTGCTTTTTGGCATCCAAAAAAATTATTTTTTGGTGTTTTTTTGTCTTCATTGAATAGAATGCAATCCACACACATTGAAGTGGTATTTTGCATCAGAAAAAGGGTATTACACAAGCCTTGGTCCTGCTGTGCAAAACAAACCATGGCTGCTCTATTAGCACATCTTTGGTAAAATGTTTACTATTGTTATGCCATGTTTTTCGGGCATCTTAATAAGCACTTTTTTGTTTTTTCTTAATGTACTACTTCTCTAAGTTCTCTTATAATAAGATGCTGGAGATAACAAAATGCAAAATGTTTACTATTGTTATTTATTTTTATGCAATGTTTTTTGGCCATCAAAAGAGGCACTTTTTTCTTTTTTCTTAATGCCACACTTCTCTAAGGTCTCTGCTGGAGATAAAAAAAAAATACAACATGTTTACAGTACCTATTATTCCATGTTTTTTGGCATCAAAATAAGCACTTTTTCTTATGCTATACTTCTGTAACTAAACTTACATCTTTTAAAAGAGACTTTAGTTACTAAAGTCTCTTTTTAAAGATGCAGGAGATAAACAAAAAAAAAATACAAAATGTTTACTACAGGTTTAAAGCTCTAAAACTTGATATTTTGATTGCACCCTATTGCTATTAAGCTATTGCTGTTATGTTTAAATTGAAATACTAAAGTTATGTTATAATTGCAGTTTTTTATATTTTGGACTCTTTATTCTAAAGAAAAATGTAATTTCATAAGCTTTAAGGGGGCGAGGTTGGGGGCAGGGCTGGGGTTGGGGGGGACGGGATAGGGGTGTGGTTGGAGGCAGACCTGGGCAAGTTGGGTGGGGCAACTGGTGGAGAGTAAGGTTTGTGCCTGCCTAGTAGGTCTAGACTCGAAATTTTAAGCCCTGCTCTATATTGCCAAAAGTATTGGGACACCCCTCCAAATCATTGGATTCAGGTGTTCCAATCATCTTCATGGCCACAGGTGTATAAAATCAAGCACCTAGGCATGCAGGCTGCTTTTACAAACATTTGTGAAAGAATGGGTCGCTCTAAGGAGCTCAGTGAATTCAAGCGTGGTACTGTGATAGGTTGCCCATTGTGCAGTAAGTCCATCTGTGAAATTTTCTTGCTACTAAATATTCCACAGTCAACTGTTAGTGGTATTTGTCACAAGTTAGCTTGCAGCCTTTTGTGTGTTTACTCTTACCTCCATGCTGCTCTTGATTCCTTCAAATGTGTGTTTGTCTGTGCTCACCTATGGGCGTCATCTGCTATTCCCTGGGTTTTATGTCCTTCCCTTCCATCACTTCCTGTCCCACCTCCTTGTCTGCCTGTCTATTTAAGATGTGCTCAGACTGGGCCACATTGCCTGAGCAAATTTGTTGTTGGAGCTCCCCAGTGGTCTCCTGAATCCGTTTAGTATATCTGTGCACCGACCCCGGCTTGACATTCCTCCTGTATTGTCTATCCGTGCACCGACCCCGGCTTGTTTCTGACATCGCTAGTGTTCCACCTGTCCTGACCTCGGCTTGCCTACTGGATCTCCTGTCTCTACTCCCATTGCACCCTGCTCCTGCTAGCGTTCTCTTTTAATGAAGGTGGGTGTACCTGGGGGCCGCGACCGGTTCCAGCCTGCTCCAAGTCCATCCCCACCATCAGGGGCCCTGGTGAACAAGCAGGCTGGGGCTTAGACTCCGCGCCCTGGGGAACCCCAAGCTGTGGTTTTATAGAGCTCACTACCATAGATGTGACAGTATTATAACAAAGTGGAAGCAACTGGGAACAACAGCAACTCAGCCATTAAGTGGTAGGCCACGTAAAATGACAGAGCGGGGTCAGCGCATGCGAAAGCACACAGTGCGCAGAAGTCGCCAACTGTCTGCAGAGTCAATAGCTAAAGACCTCCAAACTTTGTGTGGCCTTCAGATTAGCACAACAGTGCATGGAGAGCTTCATGGAATGGGTTTCCATGGCCAAGCAGCTGCATCCAAGCCTTTTCAGGGGTTGTGCTTGGCCCTCTAGTTCCAGTGAATGGAACTCTTAAGGCTTCAGCATATCAACATTTTGGACAATTTCATGCTCCCAACTTTGTAGGAATAGTTTGGAGATGGCCCCTACTTGTTCCAACATGACTGTGCACAAAGCAAGATCAATAAAGACATAGATGAACAAGTTTAGGGTGGAGGAAAGTGACTGGCCTGCACAGAGTCCTAACAGAGTCCTATCCTCAGCCTGATAGAACACCTTTGGGATGAATTAGAGCAGAGAATGTGAGTCAGGCCTTCTCATCAGACATCAGTGCCTGAACTCACAAATGCGCTTCTGAAAGAATGGTCAAACATTCCCATAGACACATTCCTAAACCTTGTGGGCAGCCTTCCCAGAGGACTTGAAGCAGGTATAGCTGCAAAGGGTGGGCCAACTCAATATTGAACCCTACGGACTAAGACTGGGACGCCATTAAAGTTCATGTGTGTTTAAAGGCAGGTGTCCCAATACTTTTGGCAATATAGTGTACAGTAGATGCAGATTACAGTTCAATAGGGTACAATGTAAATAAAGGTCAAAGAAACTTGAGAGAAATATAAACATATTGAGAACTTATCAGAGGTACATACTTTTTTTTTCTCACATCTTCTCATAAATACTTTGTGAGCCCCAAGAGCTTAGTGCAGTTATTATACAAATTCCAACTGGGTTTCCACAGTGTGTTTGTACATGGTGAGAAAATTAACCAGTTGCGGACCTTGGATGTACATGCTATACGCTAAAACAACTAATCTAAGTAGCTTGGGAACACCTCATATGTGCTGGTCTTCCATCACCACATGGCTCTTGTACTGGGACCAGCTGTCAGTTTTACAGCCAAGTACTGGTCTCTTCCAGCATCCAGTAACTTCTGTATAAATAAAGCCAGCAAGCAGTGTTTGCAGGCTCCATTCATAAATAAGTTACAACAGTTTTACTGTTACAACACATTTAAATTAGTTTATTTACAGTATGTGCAGAATAAAGATGTGTCCTTGGATCGGCAGCTTAGTTTGTAGTGCAAAAACCTTTTTTTCTAGTTTTAGATAGGGTAGGAAAGGATTATAACTGTGTCAGGTTATAATGTCAAGTTTTTACTGCTACCTAGGGCTCTGTTAGAGGGAATTCCCACACTTCCTATCCTGCTGACATTGATTTCATTAGCAGGAAGTGACACAGAGAGAAATAAACATCTACACACACATAATCCAATAAGAGCAACAAAAAAATATCAAGAAGTCCAACATAATGTAATGATAACATTGACTCATAGCAGAAAAAAATCTTATGCTTAATTCTGCTAGGAATCAATGTTATCAATAAATCACCTTGGACTCTTGGATGTTTGCCGCTCTCATTGCATTAAATATATGTGGATGCTCAACTCTGGGTCCTTTACCTGTTCTTAAGGGTCCCCATTTTGTGAAGTGCTGCTGAACCGGAGTCATTGGGCTTTATTTACTAAAGCTGGAGAGTCCAAAATCAGACTCCCTTCTGCATAGAAACCAATCAGCTTCTAACCTCAGCTTGTTCAATGAAGCTTTGGCAATGAAACCTGGAAGCTGATTGGTTTCTATGCAGAAGGGAGTCTGATTTTGGACTCTCCAGCTTTAGTAAATAAACCCCATTGTGTCCAGGGACAATATCAGTGACCCTTAGAAAATCTGGATCCATGCATTGTTTGTCCTTGTGGTTAGAAATAAAAATCTGACAGGGGTTCTATCCTACGCCAACTCTAAAGAAGAAGACTTTTTTTATTTGTTTTGCTGTTGTAGACTTGGTCCCCGTTCAGACTGATGCTACTTGTCATGCGAATTGACAGTTCAAATCACATGACAAGCCCTACCCTATTGTTCGCAATGGAACCATTCAAATTGGTGTGACTCCAACGGAGTCTCCAACTGAGATTTTGAAAGTAATTCCTGCACTACTTGATGACTTGGTGATTTTTGGGTGCGACTTGCATAGACATCTGTGTATGAAGTTGCACAGATGTCTTACAAGTCACACTGACATAGACTTTGAAATTGTGCGATGTCAAGTGAAGCCACACGATTTCAAATTCATATTCAGTGTAATCCTGGACTTATCCTCACTTCCTGTCAGATAAAAAAAATGCCGGGCTGCATCACGGACATAAATATACTGATTTGGGTGGTAAACTGCCTAGGATGGCTTTGTGAATGAGCCCTTAGTGTTGCACTCTTGAGTACCATCTACTAAACGATTGCTTCCATTCATGTGTGCTTACAGCAGCCAGAATTCTAAATACAGCCCTGCAAGTTTCTTTAAAACTATTTAATTACACTTATTTAATTACACATTTAATATTATATAATAGTCTGGCATCAAATGTATGATTAAGACACAAAAAATCCACAGTGATCTCAAAGACTTCTTATATATGCATACCAAATCACTGCAATATGAAACTGCCGTAGTTTCCTGATGACTAACACAACAAGCTAATTGAGATAGGTGACCTTATTTGCACTGGGACACCAAGTACCAGGTAATAATTGCGCTACAGTCAATGTCTCAGTTCAAACAACAGTTACATAACAGCGGGCAGAGACATGTCAGCGCACAAGTATATCCAACTGATCAGATTTAGGCTACACAGGTTAGAGGCATCATAGAGTGTTTATACAAATGTGATATGTCTTTTGTACACTCATGTCACTCACATAAAACATATTCATTTATTCATGGGTTTTGATTGGCTGATCTTTCAGCAGTGAAAGAACTGACAGAGCTGTAACAGTGTAAGGATCTGCCAGCTATTTAGTTTCTGCACAGCACTGCTTGTACTGGCAGAGAGGCTCCTGGTGCAGGACATGGTGAGTATCAACAGAACAAGGACTAGTGTTAGGGCTTAATGTGTACCTAAACCCACAACAGTAAAATCAGTCTGTATATGCAGTAAAGCATGCTTGTTATACTCACTGTGGAACCTAAGGGGTTAATACTCTCCATTGTGTAAAAACTCTCCTTGTCTATGCAGTGCAAGATAGAAAAAAAGTGAATCTTGGGCAACAAACTAGAGCTGAGCTGTTTAACACTTTGTAACATACATGTAAGATTTGAGTAGCTGAGATGTGACAAAAATATAAAGATTTGAATAGCTGAGATGTGACCTGTAGAAAATAGGACAATGTAGATTTAGCAATCCCATGTTATAATAAAATAAGATGAGTTCAGAATTAAGTCAGAGGCATATGGTCACCAATTAGCATCTGAAAGAGACAGAGCTTCCTTAGGCTGGAAGTGACAGCTTGGTGCCAATTAGATTTGTCACCTATATATAATCAGACTTTGCCACCTTCTTGAAGTTTGAAAGAGGGACACCAGACATTTCAGCTGCAGGAGACCAGGAGGGCTCCAATCTGTCTGGGAGCTACAAATTATATCAGTAGATTAAAGGAATATGTTTCATCTCTCATAAAAGCTAAAATATTAGTTGCAGCGAGATGAAAATACTTCCTTCTGATTGGACACCCTGTAGGCTACATCTGCATGTAAAACTGTATTTGTGGCCTATGTGGGGTCCCAGAGAAAGGCAGAAAATGGTTATATTGTGCCTGATGGCGACAGCTGAACAGTGATTGGTACTGTCGCGATCGGACTGATGCGCTGGTGTCAGAAATTTTTTCCGACTTGGTGGTTCAAACCGTTCCTGGTCCAATCGACTTTGGGCAATTCAGGACCCTTAGGGGTTTATTTACTAAAGCTGGAGAGTGCAAAATCAGACTCACTTCTGCATAGAAACCAATCAGCTTCCAGGTTTCATTGCCAAAGCTTCATTGAACAAGCTGAGGTTAGAAGCTGATTGGTTTCTATGCAGAAGGGAGTCTGATTTTGGACTCTCCAGCTTTAGTAAATAAACCCCAGAGTGTCCTGTGGGCTCTGGTACAGGAACACCCCCAGAGTCAATTGGCCAAGGACTAATGTCCAGCCTATGTCCATAGTCCCATAAATTGAGGACCTGGGATATGGACGTCGTGCTTCATTGACTGACCGCCGCTGACTTTCTCTGACTTGCAGGATAAATCTTGGTAAAGTTTTATTTCTGTTTTTTTTATTCCATTTTATTTTATAGTGAATAGTCAATTGTGTGTCTTCTTGTATTTTTTTGTAACTTTTCATACTTTGTACATATTTTATGCACTGCCCACTTTCGGGATATTAAAGCTTAAAATAACAAGTGACTTCTGTGTACTTAAGTTCGGGCTCATATCTCTGGAGAGATTAGATTGTATTGTATTTTAGTGTCTTTATATGCTCGGTCAAGTTCATTGCCAATCTGTATGCAATTGTACTGCGTGTTGGCAGATTGCGTGCAGATTGTAAGGGTGACAGGTCTGCCAGACGGAGATCTGTGTGTGTGTGGTGTCCCAGCAGATTGTTCTGCGGATATACTGTTGTATGGTGGCAAGCTACCGTTTGTGGTGTGTCTGGTGTGGGGGTGTGTGGACAGTGGAAGAGTGATTAACACCGGTGCTCTAGCTTGTAGGACAGCTGGAGGAATCCTAGCAGGGTGTGTCGATCGCTACGCTGCTCCTCAACCCTAATTAGTGCACCAGATTGTATATAAGATCGTGTCTGCATGTGTTTGTGGTCAGCCAGCTGGATTGGAGTGGAGTCTCCCTCCGGTGGTGACCAGAGGCAGTGCGGCCTGTGAAAGTGTATCACGGCTGGTTTTATATATTCAAAGTTAAGTCCCCCTTATTCCCTCTCTTACCCCAAATCACAGCCGCACGTGCGTGCCTCGGTTAGCTAGTCGCTGTGGGCGTGTGCATGTGGGTTGGATCTGTGACACACTTGTTCTTGTTTAAATAGCAGTTTCTGTAAGGGGGTATTCACATCAGTGAATGTAGATGACGCCGATTATGTGTGGGGGTTCCCACAATTAGCTGTGGAAGGCAGACCCATTTAAAGCAATGGGA